TGCAGAATCTTGGATTAAAACGTTAAAAAGAAGAGGCCAAAAAGATCAAATCTAAGCTGGCTTTTCAAGTAATCAAATTTTTTTAGCACACAACATGTCTGTCATTACAAAACCACATATATTTCACCGTTATTTTAGTTGACTTAGGGGGCTGTGGTAGTTTGGCAGACAATGCTTTGAGCTCAGGTTTGGTCAAGAAAGGTTTCTGGTCCCTTAAAAACTAAATAAATTTGCCAATGTTTTTGTGGGAGTTCACTCTGGTGACCCCTGAAAAATGGAGAGCTGAAAGACAGAAAATTAAAGTTAAATCCAATTGAGACATAAAAGTTCCCATATTATATCTATTTCTGCCAAGTTTGAGTTTAGCTRGTGTTAATTATGCGTCAATCACACAAATCATAAAGGTTAGGAAGTTATCTTTAAARGATTTAGTTAGCTATTATAAAATATATTTTATTGTCTCAACTTTTGCAATAAAACAATCAAATTTCAAAGCATTTTTTCCACTTGACCTAAACAAAATAGATAATTTTTCCACAAATATTTTCCATGCATGTGGTTTCAACTACCATCTGGGAAAACAAACCCTCCCATGCTGCATTGTTTTCGATGTTGCACATGAAYTCATCCTACGTGCAGAATTTCAACAAGCGAATTGACTTTTTTTTTAGGTTGTTTTGTGGAACCTGAGCTGAAGGACAATGAGGTCCGAATTCTGTCAAGTGGAGAGCGGACAGAGAGAGAAAAACAACTTTATAAATGTTTTATGAGGTGAAAAACTACATGTTTTAAGCTTGGTGTAAATTTCTCAGGTGAAAACAATCTCACTGCAAGACACTAAAGTTATTACTTGATTTCTGTTGAACATTATTTCCTTGGACTTATAGACACTGAATCCAATAATGAAAATATTCAACTAAAAAAAACATGTTTGTAAAAATCACTTTATTCTCAACACTTGTCACTCTGAAGTGTTTTCATTTAATCCCCAATGATGTAAAAGCTCCGTCAAAAATTTCAAGTAAATACACATTAAACTTGAGTCTGACCAAACAAAAAAGGGAACTATTTTTTTTTTAAATTAACAGTCCAAGAAAAAGAACAAATATGCAAAAAAAAAAAAAAATACATTTAATCTTAACAAATGAACTCTTTAGGCATTTCAACAGCCTGACTTTTATTTTTTTTAGCAGTTTGAACCTAAAAACTGCGACAGCAGGTGGAGGAAAACTTTCAAGCTGTAAAGTCGTTCCAGTGTCGTTCGTTGGGCAACACCTGACAGAGCCGCAGGCAGCAGCTGATGGTGGGCTCGTAGAAAACTGTGTCAGGTTCCTCAAACGTCGCCTCGCTGTTTGTCTGAGGGGCAGAGCGGGCGAAGAGCGAGCATTTAGGAGGTTTAGTCAAAGTTTTCTTCGTCACACATCCCATCTCTATGAGTGCCTGAGGAGGAGACAGAGTGTAGAAACACTTTTAGCTTACACACATACAAYCTTTAAGACAAAAAAAATATATAGAAATTAAATGTCGTTCAATACAATCCTCAAAGTGTAGGCGTTTTACAGTTAAGGTTTTATATCAGTGTTGAAAGACTTAAACTTGATTTATTACTAGTTTTTGTAGAACAAAAATTGGACTAATCTGCACGGCTTTGTTTAGCAAGAGGTTTGTGTGTATTTTATTTGTTGTTTTAGGCACACAAAGATGTGYAGGCTGACACAAGCTAAAGCTAACAGGTATCTCTGTTTACCTGCACGAGGTCAAACACTGCGACTGGCTGCAGGACATCTTTGTAATGTTCCAGCAGCGCCTGCTGTGTGAGTCCTGGTCGGGACATGATGTGGAAGAGAATGGCCTCCAGGATGCCCTTACACACGGGCCGGTTCAGCTTTCCATCAATGAAACGCCACGGGCGGCTGATGAAACTCACAGTCTCCCTGTGTGGAGCAGAAAATGAGTAAAGGGAACAGAAGCAGAGGAAATCCCTRAGGTGATACTCACTCCTCATCAGCTGTTCCTGTTGGTCCAGAGTCCGCCTCTTTACTGCCTAAACTGCTCCTTCTTGACCTCCTCCTTGTTTCCTGCCTTTGCTCAGTTTCCATCTTCTCCTCTTCCTCAGGACGTGTTTGTCCTGCTCCCACTTCCTCCAAATTCTGTGTTTTGTCTCCATCATCTGCCGTCTCCTTCTGCTGTTCTTCCTCATCAGGTTTTTCTGTGACGTTAGCTGATGATCCATCTATAGTTTCTCTGTCAGAAACCTTTTCTGTGTCCACAGCTGKTTTTTTTGCGGGCGGCTCCTCGGTCTCCTGATGCAGTTCTCTGCTACATCTCTTGCTGATGGAGGGGGTGTTGGGTTGACTCCTCAGAAGAGGACGTCTCTGGGACATCAGGTGGGACTGAAGCAGCTGCTTGCAGCTTACCGTCAGCCACGGGTCAGCGTGCTGATTGAGGACCCAACGGATGTTTATACCGCCCACTCGGACCACCTGGAGGCCCTCTTGTAAATCCTGAAGCAGAGAAAATGCAGTCAGGTACCTGTTCTCGGCACCGAGGAACAGTTGGAGGAAATTAAAACACACAGACTAGCTCAAAGCCAAATCAAGGAGTTAAAATTTTAACATAATTTGATCTTTGTACAGATGAAGACATTGTTACAAAATGATGCACACTATGAATATTCTGATATCTTTTAACAAATGTCCACAAACCAAAAGCAAATTCTCACAAATTATAGAATACTATAGCAAAAACATAATACTATGACTTTAGGTTTAGGCCATAATGTAGGTTTCAGACATTTTATATATTTTCATACTCTAATATATAAATATTGCAATTTTATATTGGCTATGGAGATGAAACAGTCTAAGTCTTGACTAAACCTAAAACACCCAAGGCCTGATAAAGATTGTGCCCTGATGCTGCAGATCCATGGATCTAATAAATATATCTGCAGTTTTGCAGACTCTGTACCAGTCTGATGTGGTGAAGAGGGAGCTGAGCTGTGAGGTGAAGCTCTCTGTTTACCGATCAGTCTACATTCCTACCCTCACCTACGGTCACAAACTTTGGGTAGTGACTGAAAGAACAAGATTACAGATACAAGCGTTTGAAATGAGTTTTCTCTGCAGAGTAGCTGAACTCTCCTTTAGAGATAGGGTAAGTTCAGTTATCCATGAGAGACTCAGGAGAGCCGCTGCTCCTCCACATCGAGAGGAGCCAGTTGAGGTGGTTTGGGCATCTAGTAAGGATGCCTCCTGGACGCCTCCCTAGGGAGGTGCTTCAGRCATGTCCAACTGGGAGGAGACCCAGGAGGTCTGGGCTTCCCTGCTCAAGCTGCTGCCCACGCGACCYGACTTCTGATAAAGTGGAAGATAAGGGATGGATGGATGGATGGATGAACCTTTAAGATTTTAAAATGTTTGGTTTTTGCTGTAAATTAGGGGAAACTTTAGAATCCACTAGGCACCAAGTTCAAACTGTTAGTGTATTCTGATCATTTTAATAACTTTTTGTCTTAAACAGATGCCACATTCTTTTTAGACTCTTATGCTGATCCACAGTAATTATTAAGGAAGTTATGCTGCGTTCACACCGAACGCGATTTCAGCTTCAAAATCGCAGCCAACGCTGAAGTTTGAAGCTTGTGCACTTTGAGGTCAGACGCAGGACAGCTGTTGAAGCACTGCACGGCAGAGCCTCCCCGCCCCTCCCTCCTCTGTCGGGCTCTGTTTAATGTCGGACGAGGAAGTGGCTTTGCTTTATTTACAGAGAGCAAGAGCATGTCACGTTCAGATAATTAATTCATAATTAATTCACCAGATAATTCAGAGTAGAGGCACACAGCTCGCTTTCAGGACTATTTTTCCAGTCTGATGAGTCGCTGTCACGCATTGCTGCAGATCAGGACACTGACTGCAGGCACTCGATTTCAGCTAAAGAGCTCCGCTCCGTCTGTTTCAGGTTAGTGGACATCATTCAGTAAACTGTCCCGTCGGGAAATATGTCACTACGTCACACAGTGGAGTCTCTCTGATTGGTTGACGCGGTGCGTCGAGCTGCAAAAGTTCAGATTTTCTAACTTCAGCGATTTGCGCCTCAGCGCGTCGAACGCTCAGATCGTTCAAATCGTTCAAATCGCGCTGCTCTAATCGCGCTTGAGGCGCCGCAGAACTTCCCGACACTGATTGAAGCGCGTCCACCATAGACTTTGTATGTAAACCTGCTGCTCCTGACGCTGAAATCGCGTTCGGTGTGAACGCACCATAAGTAAGAGTACTAATTCTAAAACCTAAAAGGAAAAAGACCTTTGATTGCATGTTCACCTTCAGGTACTGCTGCAGGCTGCGGGTGCGTCCAGCCTGCGGCTCCTGCAGGTGGATGTAAGCGTTCTGTAGGTCCCGTGCATCCAAACCGTTTTCCGCAGCTTCATCTAAGCTCCTCCTGAGCTGAGCGCACGCTTCCATGTCCTGAGGGGTGTATCCTTTCTCCTGGATTAACAGCCTGTCGCACTCCTCCACAGTGAGAGGAGACGAGGTGGGTGATCGGACGTTGGAGGTGAGGATGGAGGGCAGCAGAGACGGGCCAAACTTAGTCAAGTTTAGCGGCGGAGAGTCTTAAAGTAAAAGTTACACCAAGTTTAATAACTTTTCTGCTGATAAAACTTGGTGGTAAAAGGTCTGAAGAAATAAATACTTACTTGGATTGATGAAATAATGGTGAGCAGGTGTGTTGCGCAGCTTCAGCCTYGCAATACACGACTCCACCACGATGCTGTCGTTTGTATTCAGGTTACGCACTTTGACTAGGAAAAATACAAATGAATAAAATAAACRCAAAACTATTTATAACTCAGAGTTAGGATGAAATAAATTGTTTTTTTTTATTAGAACTGATAAAAAAGGGAAAAAATCATTCTTTACTGCAGCTCCTCAAAAGCTGGATTAGAAAAGTGCATATTCATTTTTTTAAATTAGACAAAAAAGATAATTTAGACTTTTAAAAAAATTATACACAAATTAAAATTCTGCATTTTTAGACATTTATTTCACAGCTTAAACTTCCTGTTTTTAGTTTCATTTAAAACAGCTCATTTCTGTTGCATATTTTGATGATTGTTTTGTTTGAAATTTTATAACTTCCCCTTGATAAGTGAGACARTAAATTACATTTTTAACTGTTTAAAATAATTCATATCTAAATCCACTTACATTAAAAAACAACCCTGTAAATCAGAATCCTGTTTTAGATGTTTTTACCTGTATTTAATRACCAAATCTGGTTTTGGGTTCAGATCCTTTAAAGCTTTTTAAAATCAGATTTAAATGTTAAACCTGCTGATATTCTTTAATAAAGTTCCAAATAATGATGCTTCTTGTGTTTTATTATCTTTGGTTCTAAAAAAAAAGAAAAATTCTGGTGTCACCATTTTTTTTGTTTTATAATTTAGTTTTACCTGAGGAAAAATGAACATACAGTATTCTTTGAAACATTTGATTTAAATCATCCTTATAAGTAAGGTTTACCGATGCCAGGAGAGCAGTATCCCTTCATCAGCAGGTAGTTGGTGTGTGACGCTTGGTGTGAAGTCACGTGAAGCCTTTTCTTCCCCTCACAGTCCTCACCGCCTTCCTCATCATCATCGTCATCTTCTTCTTCCAACGCAGCCAGACTGGAAACACAGAAATTGTTGCTTTTGTTTTCTGGACATGCAAGTTGTTGTAGTATCTGTATGATGGCTTACATGTTGTTTTTGTTTTATATTCAGTTTTATACAAAAGAAAATAATAGTTCAAAAATGACAACAATATATTTGATGCCTTTTAGTGAAGAAACATGATTGCATGATTGGTCAATTTTGTATTGGTCAACAGTTTTGCTTCAGTGAATTAGAACAAAAAACTGCATACAACGATGATAGGAAAAGGAAAACAAAACTAGCATGACAATGTTAGCTGAAATGTGGATTTAAGCAAAATAAACCCACTAATTCTTTATAACAGAGAGGATTTAATCTGTTTTTATTTTRTTACTATCCCACACTAGAAACCTATAACTGGCATAATCTTGGGAGGACAATCAGCTCTGATGAACCACAAACACATCGTTTAATTCTACCAAGAAATTAAAACATAAAACAGTTTTAAAATGAACTAATTTAATCTCAGACTCTACATCTACTCTGTGCTGTTTTACCAGAGAAGCAAAAGCAAAAAAACGTTTACAAACTTCCAACTTCCGAGCAGCTTTCCAACTATTGTTCCCTCTGTCAACAACAATAATCGTCTCAACTGAAAGAATGGACTTTTATCCTCTGCCATCAAAARGAAAGGAGCATAAAGGTATAGCAACTAGACTGATTTAAAAAAAGTGCAGATTTTATTTTGTATGCTTTGTGAACTGTGCATTGTTTCCTTGACTGTGAAAAGTCCCAAAATCTGGTTTCTTGTGATCCCCAAAATAAAAYCTAACTTTTTGTTTCTGCTCTGTAGGACTGCTAGCTGCATCTTGTGTAAAGATGTGTTGTTTTTTTATGATTGTGACACAAAAAACTGAAAGTCTGTGAATGTTTTGCTTTTCCTGTATTTGAAACATGTGATTGTGGAGTTATTTTATTATATTTTTAAATAAGGCATGTTAATTTCACCTGCGTGTCGTCAGTATCTCACCTCTTGGCCACATCGTTGTCCACCAGGCTGCTGTCCACCACCACAATCTGTTTGGGGATGGACACGAAGACGCTCAGCAGTCCCAGAGACATGAGACTGAGAAACGCCACACAGGCTCCACCTGGGGAGTTCAGGGAGAACCGCAGCATGTCCGACACATCCGGAGGCTCCTCTGAAGCTTGASTTTTTGGGACGGAAGCAGCTGAACTCTCAGATACTTGGTGCTGATCATCCGTCAGCTCTCTGTGCRATGGAGCATCATCAGATCCAGACTTTTGAGAATATTCAGGGTTTTCCTGTTCATCTGATTTACTTTTTCCTCCTGTTTTCTCATGGGTCACATCCAACTTCTCTTCTGTCTGCGTTTTGTTTTCGCCGTCATCCCCCTCCTTCGTGATCTTTCCGTCTGCAGCCTCGGTTTCTGATACGCTCGCTCTTCTGCCGTTTCCTTTCGCTCGGCTCTGCTTTTCTTTTTTCGACCGCTCCGTAGTTTTGTCCAACATCTCCTCGCCGCTCTGAGACCGGTTTTCAGTCTCGTGATAGAATGACGTGACGGGCCTTTCGTCTCCGCGGCCAGTGGTGATCAGACTCCTGAGGAATATGAAGGAATCGGTGCACAGAGAATGAGGGAAGCGCCACGAAAAATGCCTGTCGGGGAGAAATGAGGAAAAACATGGACAAATTTTTWAAAATAAGTCAGGAAACATTTTTTAAACAAAACAAAAACTATAAAAATACGCTTGCTGGAAGTTTTGAAAGTTGACAAAAAGGAAAAACAGCAGGGTGCTCACTCTAATTTGATGAAACATTTTACTCTTTAAAAAGGGATCCATGATTAGTTGTAACATTAGACTTTATTTGATAAACATTTATTTTAACTGTAAAATAAAGAGTGTAATAATACTGTACACTGTTTAGTTTTTACAATTTTAAAACTAAAAGTTTAAAAATATGTTACACGGACGGAGCCATTTTATTTACACACAAAGCATTCTGGGTAAATGATGACGTGGATAGGTCATCGATGCAAGGCTGCTAGCGAGCTATATCCACCCTGAAGGTTAATCTTGGACAATACATGAAGATTGACTCTTTTAAATTAAACCAGAGAGCGTTGACAGAGAGGAGAAGGTAGAAATGACTCAGCCTGTAACTGAAAATATGGATGGAGGACAACAGAGCTGCTTCATGGAAGAAGAACCTCAGCTTAGCCTGTTAGGCTTTAGCGTTAGCCCTGACGCTATCACCATATAAATGTATTAGCTCAGCGCTACACATTCTCCTCTCGTCACTGAGGTCCTCCATCCACATGACAGAGAGGGGAACACAAAAATGACTCAGTCTGCAACTGAAAATATGGATGGAGGACCTCAGTTTAGCTTGTTTGCTTGTTGCGCTAGCGCCAAGCTAATATATATAAGGCAATATAGCATCAGTGCTAGCACAAAGGCTAACAGGCTAAGCTGAGGTTCTTCTTCCATGAAGCAGCTCTGTTGTCCTCCATCTATATTTTCATTTACAGTCTGAGTCATTTCTACCTTCTCCTCTCTGTCAACGCTCTCTGGTTTCATTTAAAAGAGTCGATCATCAGATATTGTCCAAGATTAACCTTCAGGGTGGATATATCTCGCTCACACCGAGGACCTATCCACATCATCTTTTACCCAGAATGCTTTGTGTGTAAATAAAATGGCTCCGTCCGTGCTAAAAGTTATTTTAAAATTTAAAAAACTAAACAGCCTACAGTATTTTTATAGTCTTTATTTTACAGTTAAAGTATATGTTTATCAAATACAATCTAATGTTACAACTAGTCAGGGATCCTTTAAGCCCGATGTAAAACTATTAGATTCTTAAATTAAAACAGAAAAGAACTTTTCCAATTTAATTAATAATAACAGGAGCAGGGCTGACAACTAATAATAAATAGAGATGTCTTAATATGCAAATGTTTCCCTCCATGTTTTATTTTTCTTTATTTGAGAAGCTACAGAACATAAAAACATATTAGTGATGAGTTTTAAGCTTTCTGAAAAATGTTCAAACTCATTTTTTAATCACCATGGGTAGTTTGATTGGCTCAGGATCAACTAGTTGGTTTAGTTTCTCTAGCTTTTATTGTAGTTGTTGTTTTGAGGGTTTTTGAGTGAATAATTCTTGCTGATTCAGGGTTTTGTGAATACCTGTAGTAGGTCTGGGACAGCTGGTAGGACATGGGCAGGATGGGCAGACCTCGATTCTTCTTCAGCTCCACCTGCCGACCGATACGCCGACGGTTGAACAGATGCCTTCTTCTGCATCGGAGGAACACTTGGCACAGCAGCTCCTGGTCGTACTGACTGTACGTGTGGAAGGTCTTAAATATACATATAATATATATTTTATTAGATTTTTATTTGCAAACTGAATCTGAACAGTGTAGACACTGACATGTCCTCAAAATGTAAATAAAAAGCTAAAATCTAAAGAAATAAAATTAATACTGATAGAACTACTGAGGAAGTACAAGAAAAATAAGCAAGAACCGAAATAAATTTAGTTAATAAAGTAATTTTAAAAAATGCTGAAAGTGTTTAATAGAAGGTTAAAGAAGCCAATCTGGGTTAAACAATACAACATTATGACGTTGATAACTTCACACTTTTACTCACAACAACAGAAATTGTGTTAAATCATCTTCCTGATGTCTGGCTGAAAATTTTTCTTGGATTTGTTTTGTGAAACAGCTTCCACAGATAAACTTGTCTGAGGAGTAGCTTTGGTACCTGAAAGGACCTGGAAGTCTTCATCTCACTGTTGGTCATGGCCAGAGTGCTCTGGAACAAGTTATGCAACACGATGCTATAAATGTCTTCCAAGCTGAGGTGGAAAAATACAAACAAACAGTAAAAACATAAGAAATTATTATTCCACAGGGGTGGGGGG